GGACGAGACGAGTGGGAACGGAGCAACATAGGGTGGGTGGGCAGGACAGGAGAGACGGGACGAGCACGGGAGGGACGTCGAGCCCAAACGTGAGACGGAGGGGTAGGGTCAGGGGACAGCGGAGGAGACACAGGAGGGGAACGAGGAGGAAGACGGGCCGGAGACGAGTCTGGCGGCGGGAACACAGGACCGTAGACAGGAAGGTCAGCAGGCGGTGGGGGAGACACCGGCGCGCGGTCCGGGGAGGGAAGGCCGAGCAGGCGGAGAGCGGAAACCGGCGGCGACGGCTGCTGCGGCGGCGACGACGGTTGGGCCGGAACTCTCAGACCAGCAGAGGCAGAACGACCGTCGGCAGAACACTCAACAGCAGCACCCCCAGAACCAACACCCCCAGAGCGAGAACCCCCTCCAACACCAGCGGCACCCCCAGAAGCCGCAGGACGAACACCCTCCTCCACACCAGCACCCCCAGGGGCCGAGAGCGGCGCCGGCAGTGGCGGCAACGGCTGCGGCGGCGGCGAAAGCGGCGACGGCTGCGGCAGCGACAGCGGCGGCGGCGGGGACGACAGCGGCGACGGCTGCGGCGGCGACGGCGACGGCGGCGGCAGCGGGGTCGGCGACTGCGACAGTGGGGGCGGAGGCACCGGGGAAGGGGGACGCGGCAAGGACGGACCGGGGGTACCACCAGAGTCAGCAGACTCCTCAACGGGGACAACCGACGGGAGGGGAGTGACGTGGGAGACACCAGACGGGGCAGGACGAGGCGGGAGAGGGGCAGGGGCTACCGGGGGAGAGGGAGCAAGGAAAAGGGGGGGGGCAACTGGAAGACCTCGGTGAGGGAAGCGGCGGTAGAAGGAGACGGACTCGTCAAAGGTGACGTCACGAGAGTGGAGGAAGCGCTGAGACGACGGGTGGTAGAAAAGCCAGTCAGACGAGTCCAGGGGGAAACCGAGGAAGACACAGGGGACAGTGCGGGCAGTGAGCTTGTCCGTGCCAGAGGCACGAACGTGAGCAAGGCAGCCCCAAACGTGGAACGCAGACGTGTCACCGGGGGACCCGGTCCAAAGGAGGGTCGGCGAAACCTGCGGCCGCTGGGAGCGTGGCCACAGGTTAAGCTGGTGAGCAGCGTAGCGAACAGCGAACGGCCACAGAAAATGGGGGGCATCGGCATGGATCATGGAGGTACGGGCGACCTCCATGACCAAGCCGATGCGGCGCTCAGCAACCCCATTCTGCTGTGGCGAGTCCGGCAACGTGTAAGACTGGGTGATGCCCTCCGCACGACAGAACTGTCCAAGCCGACCAGAGGCGAACTCGCCGCCACGGTCGGAGTGGAGACACAACAGGGGGAGACCGCGGTGGAGACGCGCAGCCACAACCCACGGGAGAAGAACGTCGGGCACGTCGGCCTTCCGCTCCAGGGGAAACACCGTGGTGTAGCGCGTGTAGTCGTCGACGAGCACAAGGAAGTAGCGCTCACCGCGCGGTCCGGGGACGGGGGCAGGGCCCCAAACGTCCAAGTGCAAGGTCTGAAGGGGGGCAGTAGCAGGACGCAGCGAGGAGGAGTGAGGAGCACGGCGAAGCCGACCCTCGACGCAAGGCGTGCACGGTGGCGCAGTCGAGGGAGGAAGGGCAGGGAGCGACGCGGGGAGACCTAAGACAAGACCGTGCTGGGACATGTGACGCAGACGCGGGAGAGCAGGGTGACCTAAGCGGTGGTGCCAGAGAAGGGAGGGGTGAGTGAGGGACCGACACGAGCAAGCTGCAGCGACCTGGGAGGACGCACCAACCGAGGGGGAAGCGGTGTCTAGGGTAAACAGACCGGACACCGGGTCCCGGGGGAACGTCGCAAGGGGGGAACCTGAGACAGCCTCAGAACAGACAGCGAACCGCTCGTGCCCGGGGAACGTGGTGGTGACGCCGAGGTCCTGGAGACAGCCGACACCAACCAGGTTCCTGGAGAACGAGGGAACGTGGAGGCCAGTAAGGGAGCCCGAGGGAACTGCCGGACAGGGAAGGGACGTAGAACTGCGCGCGACGACCGGACCCGCAGAGGGGTCAGCGAGAGAGACAACAGCAGGTGCAGCAAGCGGCGTGAGCGTGGAACGGTCGCGGAAGAAGCAGGCAGAAGCACCAGAGTCGAGAGTGAAGGACAGCGACGCAGTGGCGGAGGCCGGGGACGGAGCCGGTGCAGCGACTAGACTAGGCAACCTAGGCAGTCCTACGCCTGACGCAGCAGGGGAGGCTAAGCTACACAGTGGTGCGACACCTAAACTAGAGTACACAGGGTAATAAGATCCAGCAAAACTAGAAGCGTCATAATACAAAGCATGCAAAGCAGCACCTAGCTGATCCATGTCTAACTCAAAGATCGGCACGCCCTGGCGGAGCAGGCTGTGCCAGTCGGGGAGGTCCGGGGCCGGGCCAAAGCGACGACGAAAGAGATCGTCGAGGCGGCGGAAACAGCTGGCGGTCGGGTGCGGGCGGCGGCACAGAGTGCCGCGAAGAGGCCCGGTCTGAAGCTGGCACTGGCAGGTGACAGCACCGGAGCCGCCGGTAGACGCCAAGCTGCGCGGGCCGCCACCACGGCCACTACCTCCGGAGGTGCCGGGCCAACCAGGCGGGAGACGGGCCCACTGCTGCGGCGACTGCTGCTGGGACGGTAACTGCTGCTGGGGCGGCGGCTGCGGCTGGGGCTGCTCCTGCTGCGGCTGGGGCTGCTGCTCCTGCCCACCAGTGGTAGTCCCCGCAGGCGGACTACCGTCACCACCACTACTGCCACCACCACCCCTACCCCCCTGGCGACCACGGCCACCGCGGCGTGAGCGCTGCTGCGGGTGGACCGCACTAGCCGTCTCGGTGAGAGGGGCCGCCGAGGCGACCGCAGCCGAAACGTCAGTGAACGCACACTGGGAGGGGGCACAACCGTGAAAGATAGAAACTGCCGGCGCACCGCTTGACTGAGCGATAGTGCGCTGGCGAGTCTCGATCTCGGTAAGGGTGTCGACAAAGGCAGTGAGAGTGAGGTCACCCGGGTGCTGGCTAAGAAAGTGATCGCGAGCACTAGCGAGGCGGTCTGGCAGGCGCATGGCGATAAAATAGAGGGTCATGCAGAAAGGGGGGGGGAGCGCAGTGAGCTGGGCGGCAGTGCTGGCAGTGCGATAGCGGGTCTCTAGGGCACGCAGGTGAGTGGCAAAGTCTGCGACGGTAGGGAAAGCAGCAAGGTCTGGGAAAAGCATAGGGAAGAGCAGGCGACCAGCAGAAGCAGACGCGGGTGTGGAATAGCGGGCAATAACAGCGTCTAAGTAAGCTTTGGCCGTCTCAATAGTAGCAAAACGCGAGCGCTCAGAGACAGGGAGGGCGTGGCTAATGGCAACCTGAGCGATTGCATCGCGGGAGTCCCAGACCGCACGGGCAAGCGCAGCAGTAGAGAAGGTCTCACGGTCATCAGAGGAGGGATCAGCAGGGAGAGGAGCAGGTGCGGGGGGACAGGGGAGCAAGCCGTCGACATGGACAACCAAAGAGTGGCCATCCTGACGCTGACCTGTAAGGTGGCGGCGGAGATCGGAGAGCCAGGCGGCGAAGTCAACCGCATGGCCCTCCGCGTCCAGTCGGAGCACGAAGTCCGCCATCGTGCAGGGTCAGCGGCACAGCTCCACAGGAACACAGCGACGCAGGAACACAGCGACAGCCCCCTCCAGCACGGCGGCCGCGAATCGCCTCAGCACAGGCGAGCAGAGGAGACGGAGCCCGAGGCGGCACGGCAGGACGAGCCGGGGCGAAGGGGCCAGGCAGGTGCAGTGGGGCCAGGCAGGTGCTGGCGGGGCCAGGCAGGCGCGGCGGGGCCAGGCAAGCGCGGCGGGGCCAGGCAGGCGCGGCAGGGCCAGGCAGGCGCGGCGGGGCCAGGCAGGCGCGGCGGGGCCAGGGAGGCGCGGCGGGGCCAGGCAGGCGCGGCGGGGCCAGGGAGGCGCGGCGGGGGCCAGGCAGGCGCGGCAGGGCCAGGGAGGCGCTGCGGGGCCACGCAGGCGCGGCGGGGCCAGGCAGGTGCGGCGGGGCCAGGCAGGCGCGACGGGGCCAGGCAGGCGCGACGGGGCCAGGCAGGGCGCGACGGGGCCAGGCAGGCGCGGCGGGGCCAGGCAGGCGTGACGGGGCCAGGGAGGCGCGACGAGGCCAGGCTGGCGCGACGGGGCCAGGCAGGGCGCGACGGGGCTAGGCAGGGCGCGACGGGGCCAGGCGGGCGCGACGGAGCCAGGCAGGGCGCGACGGGGCCGAGCGGGCGCGACGGGGCCAGGCAGGGCGCGACGGGGCTAGGCAGGGCGCGACGGGGCCAGGCGGGCGCGACAGAGCCAGGCAGGGCGCGACGGGGCCGAGCGGGCGCGACGGGGCCAGGCAGGGCGCGACGGGGCTAGGCAGGGCGCGACGGGGCTAGGCAGGGCGCGACGGGGCTAGGCAGGGCGCGACGGGGCTAGGCAGGGCTCTGATACCATGTCAGAAACCCAGTCACTAACCACTGGGTTAAAAGGGCTTGTTGAATAGCGGATAAGTGCGCCCATAGCCCCCCAGGCTCTGCACCTGTAGCCCTTCCCCGAGGATCTCAAGGGCAACCCTAGCGGGTCACTCAACACCCCCCCCCCCGCTGGGATAGGTGGAAGACACGAGCGCCTCTTCAGCGCTGGCACTAGGAGTTGAACCCAAGACCTTTGGCTCTGATAACATGTCAGTGAGAACGAATGATTACTAGAGGTGGAAACCTAGAACAAATACTAGTTGGTTGTACTTACTAGAAGCATACCTCAGTCTAGCCTATAACTTCTACATAGATAATATGTATAAGTTGACACGCGCAACTTGCCAAACAAAGTATTTTCCCTAGAGCTATGGTATATATCCTTGTCATGCCTTTCTATTATCAACCTTGACTTTCCATAGAATTACTATGTGCTGCGGTTATTGGACCTTAGACAAGACAGACGTTTATGTGCTCAGGTTTTTCAAGTGTCGTGTTGGCAGATTCTTTACTTAGTCTCCTGCAACACCTTGTCAAATTATTACATACATATCGAATGTGTGTTCTGTAGTTACCCTTTTGTAGGAAAGGAAGGGCTAGGATGCATTGTGACAGATGCACATGTATCAAATGTGAAATTGGGAAATCTTTTCTGTCGCAGTTCAAGCAGTGGCCTTCTTGGCAGCCTCTACTGCCTTCTTGGCGCCGTCGTCCAAGTCATCAGCAGTGATGATGGGCAGCCCACTCTCCTGCACACAGGCCACAGCCACGGAATGAGGGGCTGTCGCACGGCTGCACACAGCACACGCAGCGCATGGGGCATGGTGGGTGGGCGGGCATGGGCATACCTGCAGGATGCGCTTGCCGATGTCCACATTGGTGCCCTCCAGCCGCACGACCAGAGGCACCTTTAGCGACACCTGAGACGCCATGGCATGACACAAGTAGTTAGTGCTTGCAAATGACCCACAGACGTTCCACTCTTGCACAAGACGCGTTCAGTGGCATGGTAGTAGTACCTGCTTGGCGGCGTTGACAATGCCACTGGCGATGACGTCACAGCGCATAATGCCTCCGAAGATGTTCACGAGGATGGCCTTCACCTTGTCGTCCGACGTCAGGATCTTGAACGCCTGGATCACCTGCTCCCACGCACACACGCACACAGCACCTCACACCACGGATAACTCAAACACCCTACCTTGCGCACGTTTACATGTGCCAACTGTTACACGTCATTGAAAGCCAAAGCTCACATGATTCCCGTGGCAGCTTACCTGGTCCTCAGAGGCATTGCCGCCGACGTCGAGGAAGTTGGCGGGGCTGCTGCCGTGCAGCTGGATGATGTCCATGGTTGCCATGGCCAGCCCCGCGCCGTTCACCATGCACCCGATCTCGCCCGTCAGCCCGATGTAGTTCAGGTCCGCCTTGCTCGCCGCCACCTGCCACGCCATGGCGCCAACACAGGAGGACGCGTCAGCCATGGGAAGACTCTCCCTGCTTACTAAACGGCACGTCCATGCTGGTGGGCCAGGAACGCACAGGCGAGGGTACGGATTGGAAGTGGGTGGCGAATACTGACGCCCCAGGAGCATCGAGTGAGAAGGGGGCCGGGAAGCACATGGCACTGTGGATGGCCACGTGCAGTCCCAGCGTGGCAGCGTGGCAGCGCGCTCACCTCGCGCGGATCCTCCTGCGACTCGTCTCTGAGCGCGAAGATGTCCTTCTGGCGGTACGCCGCGTTGTCATCGAAGTTGAGCTTCGCGTCCGCTGCCACCATCTTGCCGTCCGCCGTCTCCGCCAGCGGGTTGATCTGCCACCGCACAGCCGGGCGCAGAGGCAGAGGCAGGGGCACCACGCACACACCAGCACGGTCAGCGGGTGGGTAACCACAAGCCGTAGACAATTGATGATCACAATGTGGTTGCCAAAAAGATTCGGGATGGAAATGGGAGATAGAGAGGGGGAGGGATGTTGAGGCGGGCCACGGGGAAAGGGGTAGGGTGGGAAGCTGGGTGGTGCGTGAGGTGGGAGGGGAGGGCGAGGGGCGTGCGGGCGGGCGGGTTAGACCTCGAGCATGGTGCAGTCGGTGGAGACGAACATCTTGTAGAGGCGCTTGATCTGCTCGGCCGCCGAGTCCTTGTCGCTGAATTTGAGGTCCAGCTTCTCCACCACCTGCCGCGCCTGCTCGTCCGTGATGCCGCGGAACACGTCGATCGGCATCTGCACACGCGCCACGCGCACGGCCGTTGGACGGGCAGGGGGTGAGAGGAGGCATGCTGCGTCAGGGGCACTGGCAAGGTGGGTGGGGAGACACTGGGACGATCACTACGAGACGCGTGGCATCAGTTCATGGCGGGCAGCGGGCGCGCACCTTGATGATCATGTCGGGGTACTTCTCAGCCAGGTCCTCGATGCTCGTGCCGCCCTTGCCGCACGCGATGATCATCTGCCATGCACCACCGCACAGCACCGCACACGTACAAGCACGTCATCCCTGTGAGCCTCCGCTGGACTGATCTGGCTAACGACGACGAAAGGGGGAAGCCGTGGAACGCAGCAGAGAGAGGGGGAGTCATGGGCGGGCCGGCAAGCGGGTGGAGGGCGGTAGGCGGGGAGGGCGGTGGGACTGACCGGGCCGGCGGAGACGCGGTCGAGCAGGATGGCGAAGTACATCTCGTTGGCCACCTTGAGCATCTCCGCTATCAGCACCTGCCACCGCGCACCGCGCACACACGTACACGCCCACGCCCATTGGGAACCACGCCACACAATAAGCGAACGCTCCGTCGGATCTGGACGGGTTTCTTGCAAGTGCGGTGAAAAGTTGAAAGCATGTTCTTGAGCACTTTTTGTTGACACCCCGCACGGCGCGGTGCTCACCTTGTTGACGGGCTTGCCCTCGGGTCCGGTCTGCTTGGTGACCAGGATCTGCCCGAGCATCTTCGCTGCACGCACCCACGCCACGCACACGGGGCATCACGGGCCAGCCGCGGGAATCGCGCACGCGTTACATTGTGGTACGTCATGGATCATGCCGCTGGCAATGCGCCAGCCTCAATGCACCAGTCATGGGGGCAGCGACGGTTGCGAAAACAGCGCGCTAAAGTGCAGCGTGCGGAAAGCGGCGTGCGGAAAGCGGCGTGCGGAAAGCGGCGTGCGGAATGCGGCGTGCGGAAAGCGGCGTGCGGAAAGCGGCGTGCGGAAAGCAGCTAGGGGCGGTGGTTGGGGGGGAGCGCGGCGTACAAGCGTAGTCCTGGATGCTGTCGACGGTGGTGACGTGCACGCCGCCCTTGAAGCCGTTCTTGAACGTGCCGAGCCCGCGCCCGCCCGCCAGCACCTGGCTCTTGATCACCACCTGCCACGCCGTGCACCACGCGGACGAGGAGGGGCGCGGAGATGGAATGAGCGGCCGCGCGCAGCGACGACCATGGGGTCGCGGGAAGGCGGAGACGCCGTGACTACTTGCCGAATGGAAAATTTTACCCACTCCCGCCGCTCTCGCCGCTTTATTGTTCCGCAGTGAGCGCTGAGCTGCCATGACCGCTGCTCACCTGCCCCGACGGACTGGCGAGCTGCTTGGCCGCGGCGGCCGCCTCTTCCGGCGTGGACGCGACGATGCCCTTGGGCACGTTCACGCCGAACTTGCCCATCAGCGCCGCGCCCTGCATGCCCACCACGCACGACCACACGCACACGCACGGCAGAAGGAGAAGAGGGACACAGAGGGGGGGAGGGATCCGCGGCGAGGAGAGAGGAGCGTGAAGCTCACACGACACTGGTGCCACCCACGCCAAAGAACGGTGCGGATCGCCTGTCGCGTGACTGAGGGTGAAGGCTGTTCACGATAATAGGGCCAATCGGCGGTCACACGGTTCGATGAGATCCACGCGACGTGCGGCTGACCTGGTACTCGTGCACGTTGAGGCGGCGCACGGGCTGGTTGGGCGGCGACAGCACGGCGCCCATCGTCGCATGCTGGCCGAGAATGGCGGCGGGCGCGACGGATGACTCGAGCGACGAGAAGATCCGCGACGCCACGCGGATGGCGGATCGCCGGGCGGCCATCGGGGTTGCTGCTGCTGGGCGCGGGAAAGTTTCCGGTCTGGCGGAACGGACGGATGGCTAGTCAATCCGGGCAGTAAGGGCGGAAGGAGAGGGATGAAAGTCGGTGATAATGATGGCGATTGCGAAGGCGGGCGGGTTGGGAAGATCTGGAGTTGGAAGGTCTGGAGTAGAGCGATGGAGGTAAGAATGGTGTGAGCGGAGTTGAAAGGACGTTGGGGTGGGCGAGGAGGAATATGAGGGAATGACGGGCGAGGAAAGCAGAGTGGCACCACGGAGGCTGCGCCAAGGAGAAGCATGCTCTAGGGAAGGGTGGGTGTACAGTGCAGTACACCATGTCAGACTTCCCAACAATGTAACTCGAATAGAAATGCCCCCGTCCACAAAAGGTGGACCGGAGCCACGCGTCACGCACGAGTGGTACCTCGGCTTGCAACGCTCCCGCATATTAGGGCTAGATCTCCCGTGGCCTCGCCTCCTGGAAGAATCGACGGTAATCGCTGGACATGGGATTCTGCTTTGGAGATTGTTGCCCCACACCGACGCGCTGACGCGTCAGAATCTCCAATAATATCGCAGCACTCGTCCAATAACGACTTCATGGAGCAGCCACCCTCAATATCATGCCCTCCCATGACCGCCTCTGACTCACACGGAAGTGCTGGTGCCTGACCAAGTTACTTAAACCCGGAAACACGATTTCACACGGTTGAGTAAAGTACTAAAGCCCGTAGCTAGAATAGAGATCAAGATTCTTGTTTGATTTCCTATTAAAGCGAGAGGTTATAATAGTGACCCATCTTTCTAGTTGGGCCCAACTTGATTGGGACCCTCGAACAGATATAGGGGGGACAAACGAGCGGGCAGAAAAAAACGTCGTTTCGGGGTGGGCAGTCATTCAGCAGCAAAAGCACATGCCCGCGGGACAAATTCGGATATGTGGACAGGGTTCTGTTTATACCCACAATACTAGCTAGCGCGCCTCGTTGAGGCTCGTTTGTTACCGTATTTTGTCGACCTCGATTGGTTGCGATTCAGTCAAACTCAAAAGGGTGGACACGCAATGGGAAAAGTGTGGTTGGCGGTGTTATGAAGTGATCTAGCAAGAAAGGAGAAGGCCGCCATGAAATGGCGGCCGAGGTTTAGCTAGGAAGATTGACGAGAGAGAAGAGGATCGATTAGGAAGAGAGAGGGGTACGAGGGGATTGTACCCTCTATAGTAAGGTTCAGTAACAACAACCAAGCCTATCAATGATATATAACTTATATAATTTTAACACACCCCCTAGGCTTGGTAGTCGAAGTACCCACACACACCCACACCCCCTAACCTAGCACCCCCATACCCTGCAGCAGCAGTGGCGGTTGACAGCACGGTTGACCTCTCCACGGGCGGGGCGGCGACGTCAGCGACGAGGGTGCGGTGGCGACGACAGCAGCGGCGGCAATGACGATAGCAACGGTGGCGGCGGCGTGCGGCGGCAAGTAAAGCCAGCGGCGGCGGCGGGGGCTTCGACAACAGCAGCGGCGGCGGCGGCGCTCGCCCCACTCGGCGACGTGGCCAAAATCCGCGACGGTGGGACGGCCAGCGGGAGTCCGCCTACGGCTGCGGCGAGGAACTGGACTCAAGGGAAGAGGGGCGGGGCGTGTTCCAGCCTCACGCTGGAGGCTGGTGTGCGGGCGGCAGGTGTGGCGGCGCCACGAACGTCAGGGCGCTGGCTGCAGCACGGGGACACGGCGGGAAGGTGGAATGGCGGAGCCGCCACGTCAGGGCGGCAAGCCCAGCACGGCTGCTCGACGTGGCAGCCATGCGACGAGGCCGCCACGGCACCTCGACATGGCCGCCACGTCTGAGTGTCGAGGTCGCCACGGCAGCGCGGCGAGGGACGTCGGCGGCACGAAAAGGACGGTAGAAAAGCGCGGCGGAAGCGTGAGGATCAGGCCCGCTAGAAGCGAATCGCTCTGATACCATGTTATGAAGTGATCTAGCAAGAAAGGAGAAGGCCGCCATGAAATGGCGGCCGAGGTTTAGCTAGCAAGATTGACGAGAGAGAAGAGGATCGATTAGGAAGAGAGAGGGGTACAAGGAGGGGATTTTACCCTCTACAGTAAGGTTCAGTAATAACTACCAAGCCTATCAATGATATATAACTTATATAATTTTAACAGGCGGGTGGTCGAAGTAAACACGCCTTGATATGGTAGCTATAGGTGGGGAGAAATTTCGACCAATAAGAAAACCAGTTGTGTTCTTCCATGAGTAGTGAACCCGGGTCCAACTTGAAAATCAAGTTGGGCCCACTTGGAGAATGACGAGGCAATGGGGTCGCACAAGTACGTGCGACTTGTGACAGCTCGCAAACCCTGTCCTACAAATTTCCCAGCCAATCGTGTGCTCGCGCTTGTTCGCTCTGAACAGCGCGGCTGCGTTATGGAACTGCCTTGGTTCTGCCGAGCAAGGCTAACAACCCCTTAGAAAAAATCAAGGGTCCCTTGGTTTCAAGTTGGACCAGCCTTCACTATTTTAGCCCCTCGCTTTAAACTTGGCATTTGATTTTCCAGAGTGATCAAAACAGATTGGAAACTTTCGTTTTTGTGTTGCGTATCAACCCTATAGATTTGGTACGATTTTTTGGGGCACCAATCGTATTTTTTAGGTTTTCGTATTTTTTTTGCGAGTGAATTACCTCTGCAACGTTGATAGGCCCATGAGAGTCAATCTCTATTGGGTATCAATTTAAAAGCCTTTCTATTTCCAACAATTTTTTTTACCACAATAGTTTTCTTTATGAATGGTTTTCTTTCTTTTAAAGCCCATTTTATCTCCCAACCAACTCATTTTATGGTTGAGAAATACCTATAGGCCTCATCATCACTATGCTGTCATAAAAGCACAAGGGGTAGTAAAATACATTTTATAGCGGTCGCCACAAGCGTGTATGTTGCGCACATTATTATTCCACCACCAAATTTGATAGCAGAATAGTAAGATACATGCACGCTCGATACCGAGCAACAGAGGCATTTCGTAATAGTCGCCAGCAACTCAACAATGTTGCTAGGAACATTTTTGTAACATACTTTTCCATCATCGATAATTACGGCGGATGGAGAAACAAGGTGGCATAATTAGTTTTGAACAACAAATATTGACATACGGTAGGAATAAAAACAGAAAATATGCATGAAATGCAAAAAACACACCAAAACATGCCAGCTTGATGAACGCAATGATGCTGCATGGATCAAAGGGGATACACGAATGCTTCAATGCTGCAACAGAGATTGCCATGTACACTTTGGGAGCAATGTCGACAACGACAATCTCAAGCTGCATGTAGCAGTTGGCATATATGCACCCCGCCGAATGCACGCGCACCAAAACAACACATGTGCACCCGACAAATTGCAACAGAGTGCGCGAACAGCGTGCCAACAAACACGAGGAATCGCAAAAGAGGCAGTAACGCATGCAAGAAGGCATGAATGCTTCCATGCTGCAACAGAGATTTGCATGTACACCTTGGGAGAAAAAGCTGCCAAATTGATAACGACAATATCAAGTTGTGTATCGCACTTGGCACATATGCACCCCGCCCCAATGCACGCACACAAAAATGACACATGTGTCAACTTATACATATGTTCTATGCAGAAGTTATAGGCTAGACTAGGTGTGTGCTTCTAGTGAGTACAACCCAACAGGTATATGTTCTAGGTTTCTCCTTCTAGTAATCATTCACGTATTCTAACATGGTATCGAGTAGGTTAGGTCCCCCCGCCCGCTTCCGCCCGCGCCCTAGTCTCTCGCGTCCGCAATTAGCCGGCCCCCTGGCCGTCGCGTCCGCCCCTAGCTGGCCCCCTGGCCGTCGCGTCCACCCCTAGTCGGCCCCCTGGCCGTCGCGTCCGCCCCTAGCCGGCCCCCTGGCCGTCGCGTTCGCCCCTAGTCGGCCCCTTGACCGTCGCGTCCGCCCCTAGTCGGCCCCCTGGCCGTCGCGTCCGCCCCTAGTTGGCCCCCTGGCCGTCGCGTCCGCCCTCAGCTGGCCCCCTGGCCGTTCGCGCCCGCTCCTAGCCGGCCCCCTAGCCGTCGCGCCCGCCCCTAGCTGGCCCCACTGGCCGTCGCGCCCGCTCCTAGCTGGCCCCCTGGCCGTCGCGTCCGCCCTCAGCTGGCCCCCTAGCCGTTCGCGCCCGCTCCTAGCCGGCCCTCTGGCCGTTCGCGCCCGCCCCTAGCTGGCCCCACTGGCCGTCGCGCCCGCTCCTGGGCGGCCCACTAACCGTCGAGCCCGCACCTAGCCGGCCCCAGCAGCACCTGCCCGGCCTCTTCCTAATGCCGCACGGCCTCTCCTACCGCCCGCCAGTCCCCGTGCGCCCGCCTGGCCCCTCTTAGCGCCAGCCCGGCCCTGTCACGCCTGCCCGATTTTCAGTGCCAGCCCGGCCCCTCCTCTTGCCCGCCTGGCCCCTCCTCGTGCCTGCTCGGCCTGCCGTGCCACCTCGGGCCCCGTGTCCTCTGCTAGCCCGCGCCAGGGCGCCCTGCAGCCGCCCTAGTGGAGAGTGCTGCCGCCGTGTCCCCGTACCGCTGTGCTCCTGCTGAGTTGTGGAGCTGTGCCGCTGTGTCGCTGAGGAGTTGTTTCACTGACCCTGCACGATGGCCGACTTCGTGCTCCGCCTAGACGCTGAGGGCCACGCGGTTGACTTCGTCGCCTGGCTCTCCGATCTCCGCCGTCAGCTTAGAGGCCAGCGCCAGGATGGACACTCGCTGGTTGTCCATGCTGATGGCTTGCTCCCCCGCCCCCCTGCACATGCTCCCCTCCCTACTGACCCCACCTCCGCTGAGTGTGAGGCTTTCTCTACTGTTGCGCTTGCCTGTGCGGTCTGGGACTCACGCGATGCAGTAGCTCAGATTGCTATCAGTCACGCCCTCCCTGTGTCTGAGCGCTCGCGTTTCGCTACAGTTCATACGGCCAAAGTATATTTAGACGCTGTTATTGCTCGCTATTCCACACCTGCATCCGCTTCTGCCGGCCGCCTGCTCTTCCCGATGCTGTTCCCAGACCTTGCTACCTTCCCTACTGTCGCAGGCTTTGCAACTCACTTGCGTGCCCTAGAGACTCGCTATCGCACTGCCAGCACTGCTGCCCAGCTCACTGCGCTCCCCCCCCCCATTTTGCATGACCCTCCATTCTATCGCCATGCGCCTGCCGGACCGCCTCACTAGTGCCCGCGTCCGCTTCCTTAGCCAGCACCCGG